CCCCCCCCCCCCCCCCCCCCACCACCAGTAAATTCATCCCTGCTTATCATAATTTGACTTCGTAAACGGCTTTTATCGTGTGTTACACGAAAACTATTTCATGTTTCCAGAGCTGTAAGAGATGCGGGCGATATCGAAGCGAGATCTCAAATGCACCTGGCGAGCGTTTTCGCTGGTATTGGTTTTGGCAATGCTGGTGTCCATTTATGGTATGCCATTAATAAGATTTTTCCTGCAGATTTTTTATTACATTTCTATATTCTTTAACCCATTAAGGCACAATATACCCCAATGCCCCCTTCTTCGTTACTGACTTTGTCCAATGTCATACGATTGTTATCCTGAAAGGGAAAGTGTTTGACGTAAATAGTTATTTTTGACATATTTTCTCGTCCCACAGTCATGGTATGTCGTATGCTATTTCTGGTCTGGTGAAATCGTACAAAGCCACAGATTACGACACAGGCTACCCAATCATCGTACGTATTATACTTTTGCTAATTTCCTGTCTAATTTTCACCCAAATTTAACAAAAATTTAATCAATTTGTCCTTGGACAATGTCTATTAGTCCCACAAAATTTTCGTATGAATACGTTTGATATTTTGTAAGTTACCATGCTGACAGACATGCACATTAGGGACCGGTCATAAAGTAACTGCTATAGGGTGGGCCGAAAGGGAAAACTAGGTTTTCCAAAAAAACCTGGTGGGCCATCGTGAGAATCTGGAAAAAATTTCAAAGTCCATTGTAGGTTATTGGAAAAATTTCACGACCCATCCTGCTATACATGAATATGTACAGTATAACAGTAACTTTGATCAAACCATGCACTCATTTGCACTTAGTGCATGACTTTCTCATAACATGTGTTGTATAATTATAGTTTGTATTGAGTGCAAACAGGCTATATGTGTTCCATGGCCCATCCATTTGCACAATAAACAAATTGATGGCCCACCCAAACTGATGAAAATAATTTCATGGCCCACCCTTATTTCCTCCAGCCCTCCCTAGCAGTTACTTTATGACCGGTTCCTAAACATACAAACACAGATGCAAACATAACCTCCTGGCGGTGGTAAGAAGTGTAAAGAATCTCCTTTTTGTTCTGACTGATGTTCTGCAATATGTTTTAGCCTCATGGACTGTCTGTGGTTCTTTCTGCCCCTGCCGTGTTTTCGTTTACATCCCCAGCTTGTCCAGAGCGACATCTCACTGCAGCAGAAGCCTTAGGTAATAATACTTATATTCATAATATATATTTGTACTAAATTGTTTCCCTAGAGGTCTAGTAACAGTCATCCTTATTGATATACAGTGCTGTTATATGCAGAAATTTCATCTCTGTGACAAAAGTACTTCCAGCTTGACTCTACCAAATACATAAAGTTAGTTTAGGTTTCCTACTGTAGTAACACTAGAACAATAAGAGATTATCCTTACTAGACCTCTAGGAAGAACAGTTTAGAACTGATAGAGCTATCCAGTATAAATAAGGTTAGTTTAGTTCAGGTTCCCTCCTGTAGTAACACTGGATCAATAAGAGATGATCTTTACTGGACCTCTAGGAAGAACAGCTTAGAACTGATAGAGCTATCCAGTATAAATAAAGTTAATTTAGTTTAGGTTTCCTTCTGTAGTGACACTGGATAATTCTCTGTTTCTTTAGGAGCGGATGTAACCGGTGTACGCAAAGATGACGCTGGGAGATTATTATCAGATTTCCTCACAAAGTTTATGTACGACCTTGGAATCGACGATGGCCTGGTTGCCGTTGGTTACAGCAATGATGACGTGAGCGACCTGGTTCGAGGCACGGTTCCTCAGCACAGGGTCACCAAGTTAGCCCCAGCCGGAGCCCCGGGTGAGGAGGAACTCGCGAAGCTCTTTGAAGCATCCATGAAAATATATTGATTTGGAGAACAGAGGTATTTGATTATCTGATTTTAATTGTAATTTTTATGCTGATTATCAACACGCACGTTTCACCAAGCAGTATCGTGCAGCAGATGATGGTCAACCTGCAGTTACCAGAGTGAGAAAATAATGTTCATTCTTTACATTATATGTAGTCAGGGTGTCCACGGGCTTTTAAAATCCTTGGAAGTCCTTGAATTGGAAAACAATTCCAGGACTGGAAAGTCTTTGAAAATCAGTAGAAGTCCTTGAAAGTCCTGGAATTAATTTCCTTAACCTCCAGCTGTGCCAACATTAGTGATTTTGATTAGAATTACTGAATAAAGTGAATTATTTGCTGGTTAAAGTCTAACATCCGTGCCATTTTCAAAGATTTTTCCCAGTTCTAGGTCCTTGAATTTACTGAAAAAGCCCTTGAAAGTCCTGGAAAAGTCTTTGAATTTCACCTTCACCAAGGGGTGGGCACCCTGTGTTGTTAGTCTTGCATTTGAAGGTAAATGAATAATGGACCATTTGCATTATAGACTAAATTTTGAAACCGAAAAACGGCAAACTTCACAAGGCTATATTATCCGCATTTTACAACATTTCGCAACGAAACTTCGGAATATTACTAATTTTGTGATTCTCTTTCAAGCTGTGATGAAATTTTTGTC